ACGCGTTCGACTTGCAGGGCCCCGACGCGCAGGCCGTCACCATGCCGCCCGCGCCCGCGCTGGCGTCGCCGGAGCTCGCGATGGAGATGACGGAGAACTACTGGATGGCCCTGCTGCGCGACGTGCGCTTCTCGCAGTTTGCGGAAGATGCCGACGTCGCCGCCGCCGTGGAGAGCTTGAACGCCACCGAGTGGGTCCGCCTCGCGGGCGAGGGCCCGTGCTCCGTCGCGGAGGAGGAGCGCAAGCGGCTGCGCGGGCCGTTTACCGCGCACACCGTCTTCCGGGGGAATACGAAGGGCGATTGCAAGGGGCCGTACATCTCGCAGTTCTTGCTGACCGGGAGCGCGGGCCTGGGGGAAGTGTACAGCGGCGTGGATGGATACATCCAGTACGGGGCAATGCGGATGAATCAGCGCGTGCGTGTCGCCCTCGAGGGGCTCGACTACATGACGACGTGGGAGAGCTGGCTCGACGTGCAGAACGGTGCCGACTTGCGCGGGAGGGAGCTGTACGAGGAGGGCGCACAGTTTCGATTCATTTGCACGCCGAGGGACTTGGCCACGTATGTGCATTATGATGCGCTGTATCAGGCTTACTTGAACGCGTGCATCATCATGCTCAACAAGAAGTTCCCCTTTGACAAGGGCCTGCCCTTCCAGAAGGACGACGACATCGACAAGCAGCAGGGCTTTGCGTTATTCGGGCCGCCGCACATTCTGACGCTCTGCACGGAGGTGGCGACGCGGGCGCTCAAGGCGATCCGGTTCCAAAAGTACAACGTGCACCGGCGCCTACGTCCGGAGGCCGTCGGCGGGCGGGTCGAGCGCTTCCACCACGACTGCGAGGACGCGCTGTTTGCGGATGTCAAGCCGCTGTACGACGCGCTGGACAAGGACCTGCTCTCGCGCGTGGGCAGCCACAACGGCGAGCAGAACCGCAAGGAGGACTTTGGCAACAGGCGGTGCGAAGACTACTCGCCGACGGGCAGCAGCTCCGACAGCACGTACCTCCTGCCGATGGCCTTCCCGGAGGGCAGCCCGATGCACCCGGCGTACGGGGCAGGGCACGCGGCCGTGGCCGGGGCGTGCACGACGATCCTCAAGGCGTTCTTCGACCACGAGCACGAGCTGGACTTTGCGTACGTGCCGACCCCGGATGGGAGCGAATTGGAGGACGTGGTGGATTCTTTGGAGGAGAAGCTGACGGTCGAGGGCGAGCTGAACAAGGTGTGCTCGAATATCAGCATCGGGCGCAACTGGGCGGGCGTGCACTACTTTACCGACTATCGCGAGTCGATCATCCTCGGGGAAAAGATCGCCCTTGGCGTGCTGGAGGAGCAGAAGCTTACGTATGCCGAGGACTTCTCCATGACGGTTCCTCTGTTTGATGGTTCGACTGTCACGATTTAGTTGTCGCCGATCCGTGCGCCGGTGGGAGAGCATTTTGTACGTAGCGTGCACTGTAGGTGAGTGCACTGGAAGTTGACAAGATGTCGGCACTGTTTCACCTTGTTCTTGCGGGTGTAATTTAACTGTACGACGATGTTGGTGTCTACAGTATCTGACCTGACCAGGCGTTATCATAACATAAAAATCTGCGAATTTTATTTCTTTTTAGCTTCGATGCGCACGGTTTCTATTTTTGTTTGGTGTGGATTGTTCTAAAGTTAGAAGGTGGAAAACATGGCTACGTCTGTGGGATTTCGTGAGGAATTCCTTTAAAGAATTAGAAAAAGAGATTTTATTAAAGTGTCAATGGGCCTTTTCGACAAATCCATCCGCACTGTAGAGATCATGACCACATAAACAAGAATGGCTGCATTTACGAAAAACACATCAACTTTACGTAAAGACAGAGCGATTACACAATACAGTATCAATTATCATAAACAGCGTCGAAATGCAGAATTTCAATTTTTTTTTCAGAACCCCGCCCCTTTGCGCATTGCCACGCCAAACGCTCATAAGACACATTTCCCACCGAATTCACTTCAACATTGCGCATTAACTGTGCACAAATTCTGTCCCAGCGCTATCACCAGACCAATTCAGCTCCTTTTTTTCTCACCACTATCCCGGTTTCTCCCAATCGCTCCCGTGCCCGTTCTACACCTCCCAATGCTCCTTTAGCGGAGCATGACGACGTTAATAACGCACTGAGACTGCTTGCAGATGCAGCTGTGGAACGCCAGGCAGAAATTGACGAATACGACATCGACCCCACAAAAGAAGAATCTGATGACGAATGCACGTCCAGCTCTCCTGTGTTTGATAAATGTTACAACACAGGAGGATCTGAGGCGATCGTGTAAATGTCAAACTTCGATGTAAATGAGTTTGGAAAGCTTTGGCTTCTCTTGCAAGACCACGTCACAACCAACTGGAATGTGGGGCGAGGACGAAAGTCACAGTTAAGTGGCAAGGATGTTTGGTTGTTCACTTTGACAGCACTTAAACACGGTGGGCAATGGGACTACTTGGGAAGGCTGTTTGGTGTGAGTGGTCCTACGTTTGAGCGTACGGTTATGAAGTTTATTAATGTAGTTTTTGAAGAACTATATGAGACTTTAGTGCTTAACCAGGGGGAGTCTTGGACAATGAAAAAGATGCTACAGGCACAAAAGACGTTTAAGACATTTAAGTTTTGTCGTTATGCTACAGATGTTACTGTGCAGCAAGCTTTCAGACCAAGTGGATCTATGAAAGAGGGAAAGAAGTACTTTAGCAGAAAGCATAAGTTGTACGGTTATAAGGTGGAGGTCTCCGTGTTACCAAACGGACAGGCTATTGGATGCTCAGATCATTATCCGGGCTCCGTTGCTGACATCGACATTATGAGAAAAATAGAAGCTTTTCACATTGATGCTATGGCAAAGAAGGAAGGCAAGCTGGACATTGCAGACATTGGCATATTATGTGAAAAGTATAATAATTCCTGGGAACTATTGGCTGATAAGGGCTATCAGGGCTCAAGTGAGTTTTTGCGATGTGTCATACCAAGGCGCAAACCCGTCAACGGACACTTGACGTTAGAAGATGAGGCTCAAAACAAGAAGATTTCGTCAGATCGAATAATAGTGGAAATTTTCTTCGGGAGATTGTTCACAAACTGGAATATTTTATCAAGCATATACAGGTGGGCTGTGAAAAGTTATAATAAGATTTTCCGCTTGTGTATCAGCCTGACAAATCTCCATGTCAAGTGGCATCCGCTCCGTGCTGCTGATTTGGACCGTCACAATCACGTTAAAAATAGGCAATACGCGATTGGGGAGGATACAGTACAGAAGAGGAGGCGTGCGCAGGAGAAATACCGTGCGAAGCGCCGCCTTTGCTTTGGTTAGAGCTGTACACGGCCGACAGAGACAGTGATCGTTTTGATTCTATCTTTGATTGATATTTGGGTACATTTTTTGTAGTACTGTAATCATCAAGTCAAAATTGAGTACACACGTTGTCATCAAAAATGCAGAATAAATTTGAAATTTATCCAGCTATACGTAGCAATCTGGTGTTTTCTAACGACTCAATCTTTCAGCAATATGTCGTTAATTACGCACGAAGTCTGCATTTACAGAGTATATCTAATGGACAGGTCTACGACCGTCCGAGCGTCCGCCCGTCCGAGCCCGTGCGAAGTCCGTGCAGTGGGACAGTGGACAACCTGAAACCTCTGGCCCTGTGGTGCCAGAAAGAGTCCGATGCCCCCTCGACCTCTGTGGGTCGGGGGGCGACGGCGGCTTTATTGGAGTGTGCGGGATCTTTGCCCTAATGTGCACTGTCTAGTGTGCTGTCTTATCTGGGTGGAACCGCAGTGTGTGGGAGCTCAGACAGGCCGAGCGTCGAACTGGGTTCTGGGTGGAACCACACTCCCCCGGACGCGAGGGCTGCTCTGCGTGGGGTGGGGGGTTCTATTTGTATGCTGCTCTTGTGTTTGGTGTACAGCGTTGTCTTGAGCGGCTTGGTGAAGATATCCGCTTTTTGTTCGTCTGTTGGTATGCGTTCTACCTTGATCTGGCCTGTTTGTACTGTTTCGTGTGGGAAATGGTAACGTATGTGAATGCATTTCCGTCGGCGTGTGGCGCCTGTGTGTTTCGCCATTTGAACTGCCGCTGTATTGTCGATATACAGTACTGGTTGGTTTGTGCGAAGTGTCGTTTCGCGTAGCAGGCTGGTGAGCCATTTTGTGAGGGTGGCGGTCTCGGCGGCGGCTATATATTCCGCCTCGCATGTGCTTTTTGCAACGATGGGCTGTTGTTTTGACAGCCATTGCACTGGTGAGCCGTTGACAAGGGTGATCATGCCTGTTATTGATTTCCTCGAGGTTTCGTCATTTGCGTAATCAGCATCCGAATACGCTTGAATGTTGATGGGACTGTGTGTTCCTGTTGGCATGAGAATGGCTTCGGTCCTGGTGCTATGAAGGTACTGTACGAGACGTTGTACGAGTTTCCAGTGCCTGTGGGTTGGACGTTTGAGTGCTCTCGCTAGCGTGGTTGCGGCGTAGACTATGTCCGGTCTGGTACTATCGGCTATGTACCTTATTTCCCCTATGGCTCTTCCGTAAATTTCTGCAATGTCCTCTCGGGTTGCTTCTTCATCGGTGGGGGGGTCGCACTTGATGCCGTCCCAGTATGGCGTTTTTTTGGGGTTGGCTTGAGACTGTTGTAGCATCGATACCACAGTGTCGATGTGGTGTGGTTGTGACAGGTGTATGCCTGCTTTGGTGTACTGTATGCACCAGTTGAGGTACTTGTCAGGACGTCCGAGTCGCTTGACTTTGTACTTTGCTTGTAGTACTGTGTACAAGTCGTCGATCAGGGAGCGGTGTGTGGCGACTGGCAGAAAGTCGTCCATGCTGATTCCGACGAGGATGAGGTGGCCTCTGCATTTTTTGATGAACATTGATGTGTCGGCGCGTAGTTGTGTGTACCCATTCTTTTTGAGATGTATGTGCAACTCCGTGCTATATATGTTCGAGGCTGCTGGGGTGCCGTATAAATTTCCTTTCAGTTCGCCGTTGCTGTTCTTATGTTTGTACGAGCCGTCGAACCGGGCTGGTTGCCAGACAAAAACCTTTTTGTGATGTTGGTAATTTTCGTGAAGGTAGGCGCCGGTGATGTCAAAATGTTCTACGACCATGTTCATCGATGCAGCGATTGCAAATAGAGATCTGATCGTTGTGCGGTCGGCCATGTATGTGGCGGTTCGGTCTGGGTCATAGTGCACGTGCGGGCGCATCAGGTCCCCTCGAATTGAACATCGTGCTTTCCGTGTGACATTTGCTGGTGTTGCGTCGTGTTTATATCTGTACGTCATGGTCGTCGGTAGAACGTTTTTTCGTTCGGTGGGAGGTGATATGGATGTCCAGTCGATTGCTGCCATTTTGTCGAGTTGATCCAACTCACTGTCGTGTGCCGTTTTCCATTTACGGGCGTCCGGGAATTTCCGTGCTTGTCGGAGCGTTTTGGGGGCGGCTGAGGTGTGGTCGATCTTTGTCGGGATCGTGCGGGCCTTGCTGTGAGTGCGTTTGGATTTTTTGTGTGCACTGTGCTTGGCTTTGCGGTCTTCGATCTTTGTCGTTTTGTCGCGTGCCTGTTTTGTGCGTGTCGCTCTCTGTTGTGCACTGTATATTGCATTGGTGTTGAGGCAGGGGTCCCTCTGACGGTGGTATTGCTTGAAGTCGATTGCTCTTATTTTTGTGTAACGTCTGGTGTGTATGTTCTGCACACAGATGTGGTTTTGATCTATGCCGTACATGTATCTGACTTGCTCTGCCTTTTTGTGCAGCTTCGGCTGATTTGGTTTCAGTATGGGCGTGTAGCCCAATTGTCCGAACGTTAGTACTTTGGCTATTTGTGGTGGTTTGTTGTGCCATTCCGTGTACGGGATGTTTTCGATGGCGTGGTGGTACGTGATGTTATACTTGAAGACGGCATCGTTGAGCGCGTCCTGCCAGTGTATGGCGTGCAATCTGCTGTGCGATAGGGATGCACGGACTTTGTCCATTAGAGTACGGTTTATTCTCTCTGCTAGCGCATTTTCTTGCGGTGTGTAGGGTGTCGTCGCGCGGTATGAGATGCCTCGCTTGCCGAGTTGGTCCTGTACCTGTTTTGCCAAATATTCTTTGGCGTTATCGGTTACAAGGAGCCGAGGTTGTTCTTCGTTTGATGATGCTACGTAGTCAATGCCACTTATGATTGTTTGGGGGACTTGTGCTCGGTTGTGGAGGCAGTAGACCCATATGTACCTGGTTCTCGTGTCGATTACTGTGAGGAAGTAATTTGCATTGTGCTTCGACGTTGGTTTGATCGGACCACAGACGTCGGATGACAGACTGTGTCCTTTTTCTGCATGGTGTGTTGTCCGTCGATGTGGTCTTGTGGATGTTTTTCCATCTATACATCCGCTGCATGTCATCGTTGTGCTGGTGTTGGGCAGGCCGTGGGGCATGCCGGGTAGCAGGCGGCGTTTGGACATCAGTGCGATTGTTTTGGGGTTGGCATGATTTAATTTGAGGTGCCATTCATGCATTGCTTGTTGCTTTGGGGTGTGCTTGTATATGCCAGTTGATGGTGCTGTTGCATTGCGGAGGTTGGGGGTTGGTCGTG